CCCCCACAAATCCCCCAGTCATGCTCTATTCTGACTGTAAACCTATGATAACGCCAGACGGTGTCACCCACAATTTAGCAATAAACTGTTTTGTTATATCTTGGCCAACCCTAGAGTGTCGGAAATGCTCCTATCCGATCAGGAGTCTTTGTGAGCAATGACGGTGTCACCCACAATTTAGCAATAAACTGTTTTGTTATATCTTGGCCAACCCTAGAGTGTCGGAAATGCTCCTATCCGATCAGGAGTCTTGCTCTGTGAGCAATTAATATGGAAGCGCACCTTTCCGCCATTCCCTACGCGAACTTAATTACTAAACCATCAAAGTGTGGCTGGCGGCAATGTGGGCGACTGAAAATTTAACATTTCCATAATTTTGCTATCTTATCTTGCAGCCATATAGCCAATCACAGTCAAGTCCCGGTTCATCCTGATTTACGATCGACATCAGCACCTTCCGGTTGATCAGGAAATTGGGTTGTGGCCGGCAACACGGCTGTCACCGGACAAGTGAGGAGAGGGAAAGAAGAGCGCTCGGAAAAATTGTCCGCCTTTCGGAAAACAATGGGCAATAAACCGCAAGTAGAAAGGCATGATCGTTCACCATATGCGCGAGTGTGAAGTGGGAGGATCATCGGAATCACGGCAAGAGTGGACTCGGGTCGCGGAAGCTGAGCACTCGATGGCAAGATCCATTTGTCGTAATGAGAGAGCCTCTATGCAGTCCAAGAAGGTCGGCGATCAAAAAGATTGGAGAAAATTCAGCTTCGGAAATAGCGTGATACACACGAAAACTGCCGAATAGACAGGCTACTCGGACCGACCTAACGGAAGTAAACGGAAATCGGTGGCATGCAGTGACCCATGGGAGAAGAATGTAATTTTGGATAATACGCATGAGGCACACGAGTGGCATGTGGTCTTCTGCCCTGATCTAATGATAGGTGGATGTTGATTCCTCCTGTGGAGCAACGGCGAACAGCATCAACTTTCCTTGTTTTCTGACCACTCATTAGCAAAGTGACTCATCCGTTTGTTATGACACCGTTTTGTTTCCTTGCTGCTTCTTCTCCCCCTGTTCCGTTCCTACTTAGGGTGTGCTTATTCTTCAGTAACTGATGTCAATATTTTGATGCCAGTCCATCAGTGCTTGCAAGTTCGTCTCAGTTGCGCCCATTTCCGGGCGTCCACTCCAACGGAAAAGCGGACCGACCGGGTATTGAACCCAGAGTTTCTGGATGGTAGGCAAACGCGCCATCCTCTACAACAATCTGACACCCGGAGTAGTCTATTATTTTGGCGAGATTCGTTTTAAACAGCCGAAACCGCACAATCTGACCGGCCACGTGACACGAGCTGCCTTGTCGCGCCGCCAACCGTAGTACAGTCCCTCACATCTCAAGCACATACGCCACTGTCTCTCTATAAGGCCAACTCCCACTTCAGACCGCCCCATATGTATATTTTTACATCGTTCGGTGCTTAATTGTTGTTGCCTCTAGAAATCCCTGCTGCTTCAATGACTATTTTCCGCTTCCGCTGTTTGCGTCATTATCAATTGTACGTCTGCCTACTTCATGATGCTCACTAATCCGTTTGTCTGTAGAAACAGCTCCTGTCAATTCTCAATACACCATTTGCTGACCGCGTCTGTTTGCTTCTACTGTCTACCGGCTACGAACTGCGCACATACTAATAGTTGCAACCGTCCCGTGAATGTGCATAACCACCCGAATTTTATGAAGTTAATCAACAACGTTAACTCAGCAGATATTTTTGTCATGTTTGACGAACATTTCGCCGACCATCCTCCACTCCATTGCTACTCTTCGACGCCCGAGCTAGGTCCCTTCACCGGTATGAAAGACAGAGCTGCGTAACTGGAAATAGAGGTGGCCGAAGTCCGTCAAGGGTGACTAACCTCTAGGGTTCTGCTATCGATAAAGACAAAGGACTCCAAGACTCCGTTGGACCCCTTTTGTATCCAGCTGAACAGGAAGGGGCGTACCCCCTAAATAACCTGTGACGCCTCCAAAGAATTAACAGACGTCTATATCATACCCACATCCCCAGGAGTGCTCAACCTCTGTATGGCTATGCCTCAGAGAAAGGTGCCAAATTTCGATGGTAACTCTCTAAATTACTGAAGTTTCTGAGAAGCTCCACCAGTGGGGTTGCTTGATACGTTACAGATCCCGCCTTCGTGATCGACGAGTGCGATAGCGAAGCACGAGCAGCCATCGACCACTGTACAATACTTGAACCGGAACGCGACTACTCAGAAGCTGTGAGGACCCTGGATTGCAGACTTGGCAACCCCTCGCTTATAGCAGGGCAATAAATTGCGTCTATCAACACCGGGCCACTCATCAAGCCGAACGATGTACGTTCACTACTGAAGCCAGCGGACACGATGACAGCCTGTTGGCTACAACTCTCACAGCTGAATTAGTAACCTGAGCTCAGCACCAGAACGACCACCGAGACTATCCTTAACCGTTTTCCGACTACCATCTAATCTCAGTGGTTCGATTGGGCCTCTGAAATCCTCAGGAAGACCCGAGAACCCAGTTTAGTTGATCTGACAGGTTATGTTTAAGACAGAGCAGACTCGTTACGGGTAGTTATTTTTGCCGAGCACCAGTAGGTCAGAACGCCATCGAAGCTTCGTAACGACACCACCGCCAAGGTTCTCCACACCCGTGACGAGTTCCGCAGCTAATAAGCTTAGAAATGGTGAACTAGTACGACGATGTCCGGCCCGCGCGCGCACTGCGACAAAATGGCCTACCTCGACTAGTGCTTGCAATTCGTTCGCCTGAACCCTAAATATCCCTGCAACGTCCGTCCGCTTAGCTGTACTCTGCCTCAAGCCAAGACAATTTGAAACAGTGCTGATCGGAGTGATGTTGTGGACGTAATGGCTGCAAAGATCTACATCGCCCAATGCTCCATCTGCCCACTCAGCCTTCAGCTAAGTCCGTGAGGCAAACATGCCAGGAAGAATACTGCTCAAACCTCAGCGTCAACTGTACCAGCTGATTGTGCAACTGAACAACCGTGGCGCGCGGCGTACTGCCTGTAACTCTTCGTGGCCCTCATGGAGTTTGCAGAGTCAACGCACCTCTTGAAGACGGTTTGGGCCGCATGATGCCGCTAGAGAATGTCGCCTTAAATCTCGGGTTATCGGGATTGTCTGCAAAAATAAATGTTGTTACTCTCAATGATCAGAGTGAAGTACCGACTACACAGGTCAGTTTTGATATGGATACATTGCCGCCGGCCGAGACGCCGCAATCCATCTAGGCCTGAACGGTTCGTCAGCCGTCGTCGATTACTCAAGGCTTACCAGCAAGAGAACGGTAGTCTAAGTGGGATCACTTAAAAGGAATCCCGTTTGATACTGCCGGAGGCAGTAAAATACATCTCTTGATCGGAGTAGACGTAAGGATGGCACGTTGGGTGCCAGAAAGCCAAATATGTAGGCCATCTGAGCCTTACGCTAATCCAGCACTACTCGAATGGGCCGGTAAATGACAAACGACAGGCTATCTGGGATTAACCAGCTCGGCAGCCATGGGGAAGACAGTATGGATTCAAAGATAGAGGCCATGTTCGACACAGGGTTCAGAGACCCACCATCATACAAGCGCTTCGCGTCACAGGCTGACAGACAGGCATTATCTGTTGCGAAGGTTTCCCTGAGACTGATGGATGGACATTATGAAGTTGCTCTGCCCTGGAAGGCGGGTTGTCTGAGCTTACCGTCAGATTATCTCGATGCTCGCCGAGGACTCAACTCCCTTGGTAAGAGACTTATCAAGGACGGAAATCTCCAAGATCTGTACATGACAGCCATCAATGAGTATCCGGTCAAAGTATATGCCAAACCGGTCAATCAGCATCCCGAAACCGAATACACTGGACCAATTTGGGTGCTTGCCACATCATCCGTTTGTTCACCCTCACAAGCCGAATAGGGCGAGAGATGTCTTTGTTTGTGCATGTCAAGTCCGAGGGAAATCCCTGAACTTGCAGATGCTTGCTGGTCCGGACATCGTGAATAGTCTACTCGGAGTGCTTCTTCGTTTCCGCCGGTATATGCACGTATATGCACACTGAGTCAATGTCGTCGCAACACTCACAGGCCCACGAAAGCCAAGGAAAATCTACCAGTGGTACCCTAGTTGAACCATCAACTGAAGCACCCTGAAGTGGAAGATGAAGAAACAAGAGCCGATCGGGAACTAATTTGAAGCGCCTACAACCCATCGATTCGAGATTGTGGCAACCACACTAGCAGACAAGAGCTGTTAGTTGACAATCACTATGTCAGTCAATTTTTGTACTGTAATAATATGATCCTACCTGACGGTATTCTAACAACCAGTTGAGAATTATTATTATTGATCTAGCTGATAATCTGAAGAGTATTTACTAACCGGCACCCCTTATGCCTCAAAACCTCAAACTTAGTGAGTCGCTCACCTGGCCAAATGAAGTTTTTGTGTCAAAAGCGAAACATTGCCCAAATAAATGCAACCAGATTTTTACCAAGCCCTTCTAAAGATAACATGTCATTATAAACCCGAACGTTATTGCGATTCGAAGGATGTCCATTAATCCTTTTCTTCACGGATTTACCGCTTGATAAACAGGATCGAGGCTGCCTACAAAGGTTGCCGGGTCGGTCATGTTCTTGTTGACCAACGGATGCCGTTCACCTGAAAGACACAAGCGAAAAAAGGGTGTCGCACTTCCCTAAGTGTTCCCTAAGTGTTCCCGAAACGGAGAAAACTTGCCTAATGAAGGTGTACANCTTGATCCTGTGTATCAATTCGTGAATCCCTGAATTCGTGAGCGGCATGTAGTTTCTGTTACGAACGGCTCACTCAAAAATCCCGCCAAAGTTTCTGCTTCGATTCAATCAAAAGCAGACAGCTGAAAACACGGCCAGAATAGTCACGAACTGTCCCCTGATACCATAAAGAGATCCATAAATGAAATCATTTCCACGTCGAGGTTGGCTATTTGTCTTCTTTAACTGCGTCGTTAACTTATCCAGGAATCGAAACTACATTCCCGCGCCCCGCGAACCGGAGATGGCTCCCGTATTGTGCTACTGGAAAGTCCGCGGTGTAAGTCATTCGTGTGCACTGCTTAGAGTCTATTGTAACACGTAGTGGCTGTCTCAACGAAATCGAAATTTTTTCTGTTGGAATGAAGTCTACTTGTACAGTTTTCTTTTGCGGTGATTGGATTCCGCTCCATAAGCCTCATCTTAGATTAGACGGCCTAGTTTCGTCCAATTATGTGCACAGTTAGTTTCGAAAATCCTTGCATCTCTCAACAATAGGTTATCACATACCGGCCCAGAGTGATGTGCTTTTTTTGCGTGTGGCTGGGTATCGATTGTTAGCCGCCACAATCTGATTTTCGCGTTTCACGGATTCACTGATCGATACACAGGATCGATGCTGTCTACAAAGGTTGCCGGGTCAGCCTTGTTCTTGTTGACCAGCGGATGCCGTTCACCTGAAAGACAAGCAAGAAAAGGATGTAGCACTTCTGTAACTGTTCTCAGCGTGGGAAGTAAGCTTGGCTGTGCGCCTTACACTGCTTTGAACTGGGCACTAGATGCAGCGCAAACAACCGTTGTAGGAAAGTTTTTTCACGCAGCAAATTCCCGAAACGGAGAAAACTTGCCTAATGAAGGTGTACGCTCGGAGCTTGGGAATCTTCTTACCATGTCCCCGCCGTGTGTTTGCTGGGTGAACGGTGAAAGCCTGTTGGCCAAATCTTGTCCAAACAAGGCGTAAGTAAGCTTTAGGCCTCTTTGGAAGCGATAATTTTCCAGAGGAATACGTCAAGCATCACGAGGTGCGTTTCATATTCAGCGGATTTAGGCCCTGCAACCATTTTCGTAACCCGTTGGCCACGCTCAACGATAGTTACGTCTTTCTTGCGTCCTAAGTAGACAGCGTGGTTGGTGTATCCAAGAAGCGGTCTAACGTAGGCCCAGTAGAGTACTTGGAAGTCAATGCGAGTGGTACGGGGAAGGTGCACCGAATCATCAGACCCACTTCTCGTTATTCGGAGAGATAAGCCAGTCCAGCGACCACTGCTTTGAAGCGTCTACATCCATTTGGAGGGCACTATCATTTGAACCCCAGGATTTGAAGTCGTCCGCAAAAAGTAGACATGAACCTGCAAGAAAATCTGGAAAATGGACGCAGATCAGGAACAGAAGTGGTTCCAAAACGGAATCTTGAGGAACTCTAATGGAAACTTGTGCCGGAAAGGAGGAGGTCGGGCCTACCTTCACCTAGAATGTTCCGTCTGATAGGAGCGCCTCAATCTAGTGTAGAGTTTTCCATTGAATCCCGTAAGACTCGTGTCTGTGGGATGTGTGGGACTCGATCGAACTCTTTTGACAGGCCGAAACATATGGCATCCGATATGAGTCCCTCGTCCTTAGCTTTGGTTGAGCTGTCCATAAATATGAGCGTATTCGTCACGCAAGAACGGTTTGGGAGGAATTCGTCTTGAACTGCGGATATCAAGTTGTTTGTGTTGAGGTGATTTAAGGGGGCGCACTTCAGAATACATCTCAGATTCTTGTCAGCGTCACGCCACATAACTCTTTGAGCCATTCTCCTGTGACATGAAAATGTCGTGTGTAATATAACATAGAACAGAAGAAAGTATTTTATGTTGGGTTCTGGGAAGCGGTGAAGGCTATAGAAATTTTGGATTAGTGAAATCAAGTATGGCTTTCGTCTATGTCATTGAAGTCAATGAAAGACCCTGGTCACCTATGCCGAGCCGGGAAAAATCGCAGTTCCATTGTCGTGTTTTATCCTGCCAGTAAGGTTGTTCTATTGATTAAGCGTTCTATTGATGAATTAGTTCTTTAACGAACGACTCCTCACTGGTTCGATTTCGTTTCCTCGTAGTCTCTTTGTTACTTATTTCAATGTGCAAACACAAAGGGCAGTTTGTAGCCATCGCCGGAAGGTGCAGGAAGGATCCAAGTACCCAGCCCTCACTTCTGGATGGTTCGGCTGTTGCAACAGAACGAGAAACTTGCGCTCCACCATGATGTTTTTTGTGAATCAGGTGTCAGGAGTAACAATTTGATTCACCTTGTCAAACGCCTCCCTGAAGTCGAGGTGACAGATTTCAACCCCCTTGCCTCCGTCCCACCTGTCTCTAATTTCATCCATGAAACGGCTAGTTTTCACTAAAACAGCCGACTCTCACTTAAGTAAATGGCCAATATTTCTCTAATATCCTTTTAAATAACTTCAGAACTGTTAAAGTGAGTCTAATTGGTTGAAAGTTGGACTTGGATTTCGGTTAATTTTAGCCCCTTTGCAATTCGCAGCTCGCACTGTCCTCTACCTTGACAGTGCACCATTTAGGTCCTTTTGTCTCGTTCTTAACTGAAAGCCCCAACAAATGCCCTGGAGAGAATGCACTTGTTCCACATTTTGCTCGTGAGCTTTGAAGCATTCACTATCGTTAACAGGATGAATCGGTTGGGGAGCGTGGACAAGTTACTTTTTACTCCCTAGGTTCGTCCCCTATTGTTTGCGCCTTCTACCAGTCCAGGTGATTCGGAGCCACGTTCTAGCCTCAGAAACGTTTCGGTAGGATGCTGCACACCCATTTTCGGGCGGAGCTTGCCCGGTCACTGTCCCATGGACTGCTCAATTCCGATTTCTTTACGACATTCGACCTTTTGGTGAGCGGAAAGTCAAGAAGGTTTGGTGCTTGACTAACCCTAGGCTTTGTGGGGAGTTGACGTGGTTCGAATCCGACCTACGCCTCTCGACTTCCCCTTCTAGGCTTGAAGAAGGTTTGGTGCTTGACTAACCCTAGGCTTTGTGGGGAGTTGACGTGTATTGGCTGCTGATCAGGGGGCAGTCGATATGTTCGGCGAGTGTGGCAGTTGGCTCACAAACGTTTCGTCGCCATACGAGGAGACATCTCCACTGTGTGACTGACTGACAACGTCTCCTGGCATGGTGACCGAACATTTACGAGCCGACAGCCAAGCTCAGTGAACAGGCCATCTACTGGCTGATCAACCAATTAATCCCTCCGAGCTACCAATATTTGGACGTGTTTATATGCGGGTAGATCGCATCGACGGTTGTGTAATAGAAGACTTTCCAAAAACGGATTTCGGCGGTTTCAGCTTCCTGGCGTTTTTTTTTCGGAGACATTGAGGTCCCCACTAGCCAACGCTCCATCAGTTTGTGCGACTCAAAAAGAAGATAGTCTAGTAGTGTATGTTATCGTAATTCGCATTTTTTTTTTGAAATACGAATTGCTGCCTGTAGTGTGGGACAATAGAACTACCATCGTACGGCCCCATATGTTCTTTTAGGGAGTATCGCACCCTTACCCGTACACCCATCACGCTCGACCAGTCATCATAGTCGGAGACAGCAACATCAGTGTTGACACTGATGCTTCACCTCCGTACTGCCTTAAAATTCGTCCAATTATATTCAAACCCCTAGAGTGAAAAGAATAGGAAAAGGCTGGGTAAGGCAGATGACTTAGTGTTGGCCTACTCAAGAATTCCTGAGGTGCCCACACCTCCAAGCGCTCAATCAACTTGGGAAGAAACTGATAGCACGAACGCTACTGACATCAATCAACCGCCATTTCTTGCAATGGTATGACGGCAAAACCGTCGCAGATGTCGACCTATTGTTGGTTCCTTTGGTTTAGGTCTTAAAAAGCTTGAAGATCCACACACCAAACATTGAACTTAACCGTACTGATCTAGGTTTTAACTGCCCACTTCAACCTAGAGTTGAAATACACGCTTTAACACTCTTGATCACTTTTTTATTTTGTCGTTTTGTCCGTACAACGTCTACTACTTTTACTGATTGAATGTTTTCTTTATCCTCGCAACAGTTGGCTCAGCCCATCCGTTTGTTGCTGGAGTACGTCGGTGACAGTTACGAAGAACATTCATACGGTCGGTGCGACAGAGAGAAATGGCAAAATGATAAGCACAACCTTGGTCTTGAATTGCCCAATTTACCCTACTACAAGGACGGAGATTTTTCCCTGACTCAATCACTCGCCATTCTACGTTACATCGCCGACAAACATAATATGAGTATGTGGTTGTTACTTTCACCAGTCAATCATCGTTTCTTGTGTTAGTTGGCAATACTCCGGAAGAAAGAGCTAAAATATCCATGATTGAAGGAGGGTTGGTGGACTTACGAGCCGGTGTATCGCGTATTGCTTATCAAGAAAACTTCGTATGTAGTTTCTACTTTGTCCATCTCACGCTTCACAGGAACAGCTCAAGATACCTTACCTGCAACAGCTACCAACCACCTTGCGTATGTGGTCGCAGTTTTTAGGTAAAAATTCCTACCTCCATGGTTCAACGGTAGGTTATTTGTCAGTGGTTCTATTTTCGTGCCGGTTTTGTTGATTATCTAGTATTTACATCACCCATACGCCTTACTTTGCAGCCGACTCATTTGGACTTCATGTTCTACGAGGCCCTAGATGTAATCCGCTACATGGATCCGACGTCTGTTGAAGCCTTCCCGAACTTGGTACAGTTCATCCATCGTATTGAGGTACGTTTCTGCGAACCACACGAGGTGATCGACCAAAAGATAGAATGAAACAGGTAGTCACCCTCGCAGGTAGTTAGGTACGCGGTCTCGTGGTGCACAAACAAATGCCAAACACCGAGAGATCACTTGGCTACCGTCCCATTACCTCTTGGCCGGACTGCATGGCTAAAGTTGGCCTGTCCTTGTACGCTGAGCGTGTGTTGGGTGGGTTTCTCAGAACACGTTGGACCGGTCCCACAAATAGCGTCTTGCTCCGGTGCACTGCTCGTTGCTTTTCTACGATGTTGACACCCTGTTCTTGATCGTTCTACATAAGGGCATGACTGTTTTTAATAACTCCACATCCTTCCCCTTTGTTTCTACTCTTTACTAGGGCATTTGCTCATGTTGTGTGGAAATGACTGTTTTTAATAACTCCACATCCTTCCCATTTGTTTCTACTCTTTACTAGGGCATTTGCTCATGGTTGTGTGGAATTTAGGCACTGGTATTTACTACTGGTATGTTGTCAGTGATGATGACGGTCATGATGGAGTCCATAAGTTAAACTTAGTTGTGAGATCATACCACCCTTCACATATTCGTCATCGCTAATGACAACGTCCACGTCGAAACGCTCACGCCCAATAGTCTTGCAGCAATGCCAATTCGTCCAACTTCATCCATGTGGTAGGAAGAAAAAAGTGAGATAAACAGTTGACTGATTCACTAAACATTCGGAGTGCCTGCATTTCCAAACTGTCAGCCAGACATCCCAGGTAGAAACGGCAGCCGTTAGAAACCATACCGAGCATTATCATATCGAGCCCCGAGACATCGATGGTTCATACTTGGTACTAAGATGACCTCAATCTAACATCTGCTTCCTCATAATCTTCCAAAGTGAGAACATCATCTGCACATCCCCAGATCGATAAAATCCTCTTTTACAGATGTATGAACATCGAGATCCTTGTGATCCTTCAGCATCTACTTGATTAACCCATCAACTGGGAAGCAAATTAAGATGGAAATCTTTGTCGGACGTAGACGTTTGTCAGGAGGCCTCTCTGGAGCTTCCCGTACACTATCCCATGGACATAAATATGAGGACATAGGGGAAGATGCAATCGTGGTAGTTGGTGAGAAGGGAAATCCTTAGAAATTTTTAAACCAGATCGTATTTAGACTTTGCGGCACTGTAAAGAAATGTTAGCTTCAAATGGACTGAATCATTTAGGTGGCTACGTAGCGACTAATGGTCTTCGCTAGTCCTCACCATGCCCGATGCAGTTTTTTCCATTCTGGATCCGCGCTGAAACATTCCGTAAGATCACAAAAGCCAATGGATTGGTTTGCTATCCCATCACTTTGGTTCATGAAGGGAACTGTTACCAAGAGACTATTATATATATATA